CTGTTCTGGATAATTCTGATCCAGCCAAGCCCTAACAGCTACTACATAATGAGGTGGTGCCCCATCTTGTTGAAAATGTAATACATTTTTATTCAAAGCTAGTTAATCATCCTCTTCTCTTTTATTTTATTGCAGCTCTACTTTGTGCTAGTTGGTCTTGAGACAATGAAGCTTTATGATTCGGCTTTATATTAAACCTGCTAAGTGCAATAGGTTTTAAGGAGGTAGTATACTTTTGTCGTAAACACATTTTAGCTGACAATTTTTACTTGATTTACCTTTTTACTTTATTGTTGTAAATTCCATATTGGTTTAATCAAATACTTGTTTGGTATATTGTTGCCATATAGAACACTAAGCTGTTTCACAAGCATAGGCCATTATTGATTTTAAAAACGTAATAAGAAAATTATTACGCATCTCTTTTCCACTTTACTGATAAAAGTTGATTGCCGAGACACAAAACGTATGATTCCCACTGAAATGCTCTTAATTTAAACTATTTTAAAGGCTTTGGCTAAATTACTTACCCGATCTACATTCCATTTTTTAAGCCATCTCTTATCGAAAAAATACTCTCTAGCATTGCTCGTAAAAAACAAATTTATGAAATTTTCTGAAAAATATTATCTATTCATATTTTATAAAAAATTATTTTATCATGGCGGAGCAATATTTTCTAAATTAAATGGCGGTTTCAGTTATAAAACAATGTACTCTTGCAAACAAGTGCTACAAAGTTTAATTGATTTAACAGGTGTTTACAACTATTTGTTAAAACTAAGCATTATTATAATAGCCCTATGACTGCATTTTTCAAGGCAATCATAAAACCAATTGGAATTTTGTGCGAGCATTTTAAAACAACTTTGAAGTATTTTCATCAAAAGTATCGCCATCAGGGCTATAATGCTTTGTCAGATGATAACACATAAAAATTGTCTTAATTGCTGTGATAAAATGATGAAGAACACCTTTTAACAGCTCTTACAGGAACCAACTTTGTTTTTCTATATCAAAATTTCCACTTTTTCTTTTACTTTTAACCACCGCTCCAAAAAACTCCTCGTGTATGGCGGCGACATGTTGACATTGAGTTATTTTCTTCGCGATTATCGAGACAAAAACGTTTTAAGAAAAATAATAGCAACAAAATGGTTTACATTCATGCAAATTGCAAATTGGAAAGCAAATTGCATATTAAAGACGTATTGCTGCTCTACTAGGAACAATCATAAAACCTTTTTACTGTTCTGTAACATTCTTAAATAGAGGAAAAGTAGTCCTAAGACCAAAAGCTCCTATGAGTCGGCTTTAACAGATGCATTAAAGCCAACTTTCCGAGCACCATTAAAACCAATAGGCATCTGATAAACCTTCATAAAGCTTATTGGACTATAGGCGTTTCTTAGGGGCAAGTTGCCCTAAAAAAGCATTGATTAACAGTAATAAATCAATGTTAAGATCAAACGGTTATAATTGCAAAAAGGCTTTAATACTTTACTTTAAAGTCGCTCATAAAGCCCAATCATAAAGCTTCATTATCTCAAGACAAACTACTCTCTAAAAATGAATTAGTCAAAAATGACTAATTTAATAGTTATTAGTGGCTGCTTTTTCACTTGTACTCTAGTTAACCATGGAATACCATGGTATTCAAAAATTTAACAGCTAATTATTTTGTAAAATTGTTCCCTGAATCCGAAAATGTCGTCAAAAGTTAAAAAAGTGAAACAGTTTTTGAGATATAGTCAATTTTCCATTTAATATGGAACTGACTATATTTCAAAAACTGCTCCACTTTTATAATTTTTGACGGTATTTTCGGATGCAGGGGACAATTTTACATAAGAATTGGCTGTTAAATTTTTGGATACCATGGTATTCCATGGTTAACCATGGTACAAGTGAAAAAGCAGCCACTTATAAGTTATATATAACTATAGTTATATATAACTATCAAATTAGTCATTTTTGACTAATTCATTTTTAGAGAGTAGCACAAAGTAGAGCTGCAATAAAATAAATAGCATGCTTTTATAAAGCTTGCATAAAACAGTAAAGCATTATCGGTGGCAACCCTTTGCTTCTTGGGCTGTCTGCATCATCATCGCCAAGTTCTTGTGTAATATGTATTTTGAATGGGTAGAATTTGTAATGTTTTAACACCTCCTCAACAGACTCAGGGCAAAGCCTTGTTAATCTAGATAGTAATATTGTGGGATCTACATCAAACCGACCAAGAACCTCAATATGGGTGGCTTCATTGAGTATCCTATGTTGGTTTCTTTTTCGATCTTTTTTAGGTCTAGACTTATAGAGCATTGCTTGTTTTTAAAAAGTATTTATTAAACTATTGATTTTATTATAAGCCGGATCAACTCGACTAGACAGATTCTTTTCCAAATATTTCAAGTTATTATTTACTGCTTTATATGACATCTTATGTCTAGGTGGGTACTTGAAATAACATAGTAATTTATGTTGTTTTTTCTTAAAACTGAAGCTGATTTCTACGTATGAAATATGATAAATTGATTTGGTGTTATACCTCGTATAACATTTCTTAGATAAAAATATGATTTATATTATTAAAAATGGAGTTTTTATATAACTAAGTATAATGTTCTTTATTGTATCTATTTAGAAACATAAATAAAACTTCAAAATTTGTTGTGGATTTGTAAATATTTTATTTCGGGTTTATTGATTTTTTTACTAAAAATGTATCCGTAATAAACTGATTTGTTGCAAAACGAGACACTAAAACTTTTGTATGCCAAACATAAAAAACCCTTTTCGTCTTTTAAAACTTAGATTTCTGCCTCCGCGAGAACTCATAAAATGTTTTAAAACATAAAAGTTTTTTATTTGAATCCCTATTTTAAATCCTCGTTCCTGAATGTTAGGAATGTAGAGTGCAGAGTAGAACCATTACTTCACACAAAAATATTATATAATATATTATGTTAACAAAGTTAATTCGTAATTAAAACGTTACAAAATTTCCATATTAATTGACATCCACTATTAATTATAACAGTTGCAGGTCGCTATGTTCGTGCTTTGGTTATTGCCTACCTTGATACTGATACACTGAACGAATATTAACTACGTACTACAGTGCACAAAAAACTGCTTCTTATCGATTGTTAGTCTATTTCCAAGGGATAAATTTTGATTTACACAGAAAATTTAAGATTTTAACGCTGGTAGATTCCCAAGTTAAAAATTTTAACGGGAATTCCAATAAATACAACTGTCACTTTTTGTACCTTTATCATTTCCAGTGTAAGATTTTTTAATACTTTGAGATAATATTTTGCAATTACACAGTTCAACACGATTTTACTTTCATGAAAAATTTTAACAGATTTAAAAAATAAAGGTTAAAAAACGAGTTTCAGGAAATCACGTCATTTAAATTTTTTACACAGCCATTCTTATTATTTTAACCTAAACAGATATTTAATTCTCTATTTTGTTGTAAATCATTTTTTTCTTCAAATGTTTTATGTTTTTACATAATGCAAAAATTATACTTAAAGAAAATAACAATTATATTTTTTAGTATAAAAAATATTTCTGGTTTTAATTTTTAATTTTTTTAAACAGATTTGTATTTATCTTATATTAAATATATGTTGGAAACAATCTTGATCTTTTAGTTTGACGATTATACATTGCTTAAGTCTATTTTTCTAAAATGTTTAAACAAAATGCCACTTCCGGACCGGAAGTGACATCATCTTTGTTATTTTAAATAAAATTTTAAACCGATATCTTTTGCCGTTCCTCAGAAACTTTTAATGGACCACGAACGTAAAACACCCGTATTTCGTAAATGTGCACCCTGTACATAATTAAAGTAATTTTAAAATAAATAAATAATTTTTATAATTGTCCATTTATTCAGTGAATAAATTTTTCTTAAAAATATACAGTCTAGCTGTTATTGAAGCTGTTATATTATGTGCCGAATACCGTGGATAATATTTTATTGAATTGCACTTAAAAAAAATAAATGACTGAAAAAACGCCGAGACACGGGTATAATTTTTTTAAGTCTATTTTCAAAATCTTTAGGAAAAAAAAATCAAATTTTGTCGTACTGTGTTATAGTAATAAAAAAATCAAAGGATAAAATCTTTTCTTAACATAATCATATTTTGAAGTTATTTTAATATTTTAAAGTTTCAATAATTGTTAAGTTTAATTAAAATAATAACAGGCAATGTTAATGGTGAAAATACCGTCAAAAATGTTTATTTGGATAGATGTCGCTTTATACAAATATTTAATTTAAATCAGTTTAAAGATAATAATAAGTATTTTTCGTAGAAAACGTAAAGTATGCAACTCGTTTATAAACTTTTTTAGGCACTCATTTAATTAAGAACTCGCTCGCGACTAAATTAAATTCGTAACTAAAATGGCGTTTATCAAACTTGATATACTATTATTGGCTTTGAAATATTTTATTCCATATTAAAAATGCCAGCAAACACATCTTTTATGGGGCTGTCATACTGACAAAAAAGTGCAAATCCTTAATTAGTACTCTATCAATACAAACCCTTTAGTGATTATGTTTGGTAGAATATTTGTATTGTGACATAGGCAATTCGATTGCTCGCAGCATTAATAATCCTTGGATATAATTTGCGTCAAATAACGGCAAATCAAATCTGTAAATCAAGAGGGTTATTGCCTGCTGTTGCATGGCCAATAACATGGCAATGCCTTCAAATTCCCCGAGGAATGACAACCTGTGATTTATTATACCATATAGCCTGCCAACAAACATCACTTATAAAGCTAATCTAATTTTAATAATTTTCTGCTTTATGACGATTAAAGGCAGTCCGTTTTGAGTTTACACCCGGCACTGATGAGTCCCAAAAGACCGAAACAAAATTATCCCTCAATGTTTTCAAATACATAGCATAACAGTAAAATCCACGAACATTTCCATTAAATAATAGTTAAGTACCTTTAAGTATTTCTCTATACGTTGATATCAATCAAACGGCGCTGGGTAAAATTGTAAGCAGAGCCATAAGCAGTCGTAGGAGTTGGAGAGAAGGAACACTTGGAAATCGCTCTCGAGATCCTTTGATGTTCGATGCTCGAGACAACCTGACAACGTCAAGCACTATTACAGAACAACGACAAGAGATTTGTTATACGAATCTCGACAATAGTCATCGTCTAAGTTTGTATCGTCAGCTGCAAGACTTCCTGGACAACATCATTAAATCAGGCATAGCCGAATAACTGCTTTCAAACAAAATTGCGAACAAAATAAGATCAAAAATAAGTTCAAATATCTCCTAAAATGTTACGGTTAAAGCGAAGATACACAAATATCTGTTAATTTTAAAAAGGACCTTATTTTTAAAAACCTTTTTGAAGACTCAGTAGCAAAAGTATTTGTTGGAAATTAGGAACTTAAATGAAAATAATTTTGATCAATGTACTAAACAAAAAAATTAACAAATATATTTATACCTACGGGCATTGAGTAAAGATGCTACGGGTGTTTCCATCTTAAATCGACCAAGCAAAAAGAGGTAGGTCGTTATTTTTCAACGAATTTTTTTTACAGTTTCTCTACCGAAATCGATGAAACTCGTATTTTTTTCTTTGTGCTTAAATTTGTTTTATTTACCCGTAGTTGAAAAATGGACAGAAACTTCTCTTTTTACGAGTGACATTTTTTTTTTTTGAAAATACGATAACTTGGCCAAAAATTTTTCGATTGTTACAATTTTTTTTTAAATTGTAGGTAAATGTTTACTACAACAAAAGAATATATAAAAAATTAAGTAATTTCACAAAAAAAAATTAAAATGTTTTTTCTAAAAAAGGCAAAAAAAATTGAGGTCAAAATTTTGACATTGCCACATTTTTTTTACTTCATATTTTTTTGTTTGAAGTTGATAATATGAACAAATTTCACCCAAAGTCCTGATTGGCTAAATTCGTCGTTTCGGAATTATAATTTTTTAATGAAAATGACATTTTTTAGTAAATTCGTGGTATTTTATCTATGGTCATGAAACTGGGGGACCTTTTAAAGTTTAATTTAGATCTTTTTGAGATATTTAACATATTTTTGTCATTTCTGGTTTCACCTGCAGTGCTCTTAAGTAAGTAAATTAAATTATTAAGGATTTTAGAGTAAAATTCCTAATATTTTTGCATGTGTTTCCTTTGAAAAGATGTAAAAGGTATACCCAAGTTAATTTTGGTTAAAATAATAAAAAAATATTATATACCTAAAAGTAATGAATCGAATGCACAGGAAATATTATTTTTATTTTATTTTATAAAAAGTTTTAGCGTATGTTTTCATAGTAAAATAAAATGTTCACTTACCAGCAAAGCAAACTGTCAAATCTGATGCTTCTTAAACACAAAGGTTTCAAAGCCTTCTTAATTTATTTATTTCTGCACAGAAAAAACGCTAGCATAGCATGAATGGGTGAACCATTAAACCAATGGGATCTTGTAATCCGTATTCCTGAATAACAGTTCATATAATACCAATAGGTAGCTAGCACTTGGTTTACAATCGTTTATAGTTTTTAAATTAACAACAAAAGTTATCGCTCCTAAATTTATTGATATTCATATTGATATTTATTTGTTAGAATGTTAGAATGTTATTGCATTAAATACTAATTTGATTTATTTAATAACGTTACTATTGTATGTATACTATGTATACATTTAACGCAATAAATTCTTTAACAGTTAGGCAAAATATTTCCCTATTTTGGTTTAATAGTAATTAATTGAGCAAATAACAATTTAGATTGCTTCAATTTTAATGCATTCAATGACAGCGCTGTTCTTGGTACTATGTTAGATTGTTTTCTGTGTGTACACACTTTAAAACCTAATAAACATACAAATTGTATTTTTTACAGACTACTTGGCCCAACATGAAGCAGAAAAGCCAATTCAATGCACTCTAGATATGGAAATAAAATTTAAAAATGATTTGACCTGTCAAAAATTGACAAATGAAATATGTTTGTATTCAAAATTTTATTTTGAATCAAAATAAGTAAAAAATAAAAAGTTAAGACCATTTCCGGTGAAACCGGAAGTGACAAAAATATGTTGAATATGTCAATAAATTCTAAATTACACTTTATAAAGGTCACCCCAGTTTCATGACCCTAGATAAAATACAAAATTTTCATTAAAAAAATAATAGTGCAGAAATGACAAATTTAGCCAATTTGGGACTTTTGGTAAAAAGTTGTTCCTATTATTAACTTCAAACTAAAAAAATATAAAGTAAAAAAAAAATGTGTCCATCTCAAAATTTTGACCTCAATTTTTTTGCCTTTTTTTGAAAAAAAAAATTAAAAAAAAAATGAGTGAATTTACTTAATTTTTTTGGTATGTAGTAAACATTTACCTACAATTTAAAAAAAATGTAACGATCCAAACATTTTTGGCCAAGTTATCACTCGTAAAAAGAGAAAACTCGATGTTTCTGTCCATTTTTCAAAAATTTCCTACGGGTAAATAAAACAAATTTAAGCAAAAAGATAAAATTCGGGTCTCATCGATTTCGGTGGAGAAACTGAAAAAAATTTCGTCAAAAAATAACGACCTACCCCTTTTTGCCAGGTCGATTTGAGTTGGAAAGGCGCCTATAGGCGTATACATAAATGAACACAAAAATAACATTAAACACAATTAAATAAAACACCATTCTGAAATCATCAAATTATAAAGCAATTTGGTACAATATAATAATTATATATATTATAATTATCAGTATACTACTACAACTCTTACTAATGTATTTCGTAACTTTAACCCACTTTACTGTATCCCCTAATTTCAGTTTGAAAATCAGTGATGGCATCTTCTTTTGGTTACTACGCTCTTCGCACACTCGTTAAATAAATAGGTATAAGGAATCCGAATAACAATAATAACAGATTATTGGTAATATATTATAAACACTCTGGACAGTTGTTACGATCACGTTGCAGACGCTGAAGTCAGTTGAATTTGTTGATGCGTATTGTCAGTGGGAAATGTTTTGATTGACTGCCTGATATCACGAAATAATTTGGTAAATATAAACAAAATAATCTGTAACCTTTGAAATTAACAAAATGCTTACAAAATTGCCTATTACCTTTACAAAACTTTCGGTAAAATATTTTCCTTTGTTAAAATAATTACAAACCCCGGTTTTCAAAAAAACATTTTAAAATTTTACAAAATAAAATTAACAAACTATAGTTTGTATACAAAGTCATGTTAACAAACTTTTATAACAGTGTACTAGCAAATTTAAAAATTATTAAAAATAAAATAACGAATGTTTGATTTATTGGTGGTAGTTTGGATTTAAATTGGTCGTTTGAGGGACAGCCGTTTTTTATGAGGCGAATCGCAGAAGCTCATGAACCCGGCCGACTCCGTTAATTGACACGATTTTATTGTTATTTATCGACGCTCGTTTATTAATTTGTCCGTTGCGTTTAGCAGCTTTATTCGACGGTGTATACCATAAATACACGGAAATTTATTGGATTAGGTACAACTTTTGTTAGGCGTGCGGCCACGATGAATTATTAAACCTCCCCGCAATAATATTTAATCGAAGACATTAAAATTAATTGTTCGTTTAAGGCTTTCCACGAAATATGATTAATTATATTTTGAAATTGAATGTTGGATAACTCACAAACCGCACAACAAGGTCTGTTCTATCTCGTAACGCGTATACTACTAAAAATCACGTTAGGCAACCCACTGCACATACTTTAACGGCGGCCATTTGTATGTTGTTTACAATTCTTGTGCTTCAGGTTTGTGTTGTTTATACAGATTAAAAATCGTTTTAAATTTACCATAACACGCAAATTTAAATTTGACAGTTTAATAACAGCCCTGATAGAATAAGGTTTATTTTTTACAAAAGAGGGGTAAAATGGTTGTTCTTAGCACTTTAAGGCCTTATTTGAGGCTTACAAGTGTAACCAACACAACGTTTAAAACGATTTTTAATCTGCACAGAAAAAACGCTTTGATATAGTCAATAACAATGCTATAATTGTTTGTTTTTTCATTTCTCCAATAAAAGTTAAAGTTTATTCAATTAAATATGTTTGGAGCAATTGAGGGTAAGGGATTGATGTTAATACATTTATTATATCCAGCACATAACAAAATATTATCAAGTTAAAATTACTTATTGTAGTGTGAATGGCTCTTTATACCTAATGGAAATGTGTACTTTCTTGAAAATTTTCAATGATTGTATTCAAAGTTTATCTGATCAAGGTAAAATTAACAATATTTAATTAAATATATAAATTGATTTAAATTAAAAGTTATAATGCTTTAACCAAAAATTAAAAACAAATGAAATATGTATTAATATTCATGATTTTTATTCCAATGGAAACTAAGGTAAAGTGAGTTATTACTGTCTTACAGTGAATACCAATGTTTTTATTGTCTTGAAAAATCCTTGTTATTTGCCTAATTATCATTTCCATCTTTTAAATGCGGCCTACATATATTCAATTTAATGATTGCTAACATTCAGACAAACGCGCCAGGGCATCCCCTGCCACACCACACAACCTGCAATCGCGTACGTGCGTATAGTTAAAAGTGATCAACTGATTAATCGGTATTTCTGGTGACGCCGATTGATGTAAGTGTATGGGTTATCTCTGGTTTAGGTAGTGTTTGGTTGTTTGTTATATTTGCTAGTTTCTTGGGGGTTGTACTCCCTAATCCCGAATGTTCAAGGTAAGTTGTACATGTTTTTAAATTGTATGTCCGCCATGCATTATCCAGTAATTTAATTACTCAATTATATCTAAATAATAACAAAAAGGTAAATGTGAACTTATATAGGTATATACCATGGACACAGTTTATCTTGATATTCGGTGTCATGCCTTAAAATAGCTATTTTGCTTAAATGGACGAAGTTTTTATTTATTTATTTAAAATTCTCATAGTCTTTCAGTACCATCATGATATCCTTGCAGGGCGTCCTGAAAGTATATATTGCTTTAGGACTTTCAGCAATCTTTAGGATTCGCCTCTAAATACATAAGATGAAATTCCTATTTCGTTTTAGAATAAACATGTGCCATAGCAGACAGATCCTGCACATGCAATACAGTAACTGTTGCTAGTGATGGGTCAGCAACTTTTTTAGAGCCTTATATCACCAACACTTCTAGTGGGTTCCTAATACACTCCGCCAAGAAAGTATC